ACAGTTTATGCACTGTGAAACTAAATGGGAAGGTTAGAAAAAAAAAAAAAAAAGAGAGAAAACTACTGATCAGAAATGAAAAGGAATAATCTACATAAAAAATGGCAAGGATAAGATAAGACCAGCACATCATGGCTATTACTATTTCTAATTTCTATTAGGATTTTAAAAAATCCAAGTAGTATGTAGAGACACAAATCTCCATGTAAGTAATACAATAGGCATGTGACTTTATTGCTTGTATGTCCCAAGGCTTCTGAAGGGTCTTTGTTGGTGAGGAACACTGGAAAACAGGTAAAAAATACTCATGTCATAAGGTCATTGCACACCAAAGGTGTGCAGTGCCATAATTGATGTGTCATGATATTTGATGTTACCCACTGTGAAACTGTCCATTTCTTTCCCCAGACTGACTCAGAGTATTTACTGATTTGTACCTTCAGAGTCTTTACAGGATGAAGGACATGTTCACACTTAAGAGGAGTAAATAAAAAGCACTTAGTTAAGATGCATAAAACTATAGTATCTCTGGCTACTTATTGATTCCTGAAGATCTTGAAATATTGAATACAATGTTAAACTCATATCTGAAATATTATGGAAACAGATTACCATCACAAAGAGGTAAAGGCTTCCATTCCCCATTAAGACATATTGTCCTCATACTTCCAGCAATGCCTTTTTTACATCCATATAATATTTCGTCACCATGAGAAAAATATTTTGCAAGCCATTTACCAGCTCACTTTCAGTTATTGCAGAACTCAAGTTGGCATAACTGAAGATAAAAGAATAAGGCAACAAGAAAAATATTTGGGCTGATTACCAGAAAAATGCTCTAGATATGTTCAATGTTTTTACACACAGAAAAATTGACATCATTGAAAATCCAACTGCTCAGACTCTTTCACGAGAAATAGCAGAATAATACCACATGTAGACCAGTACCTGCCCTTTTAGAGACAAGGTGACCACTAAAGTCTTCAGGACACAGGCATTTTCATACATTTCCTACAACAATAAAGTCAACAATAGATTTACCTTTACATGCTGGTGGTGATGGAGACCATCCAAAGTAATAGCACTGAGCAGAGCCAGGTCCCACTCTTTTGTATTTTTTTTTCACAGAAAAATTTCACAACATCTCCATTGCTATATTTATCCTTCCTGGGAGAAATATATCCATTGGGCAATATTGGCGTTTCACATTCTATTGCTACAAAGACAAAATATTTTAACATATACTGTAAGACCTACAAAAAGTACATGAGATACTACTAATGGAAACGGGGGAAACCAGAAAGAAAATACACAGACACACAGCCCTGAAAAAAACAACATGGAGGCAATGACAAGAAACAAACTTCCCAGTCACACTAATTGGTTGGCTATCAAAAAACTACAGGCACCACTTTCAAGATAATCAATCTAGTTTTTGCAACTAAGACTAAACCAGGGAGAACCTGGATGGGAAACAGAGTGGGAATTGACACAGCCATACAAACCCATGAGGGGACATGGAGGGGCAAGTGAGAGCAAGGAGAACAAAGATCGGGATAGGCAGAAAAGGGATAAAAGGGACCAGTCGTGTAACACTGTGCCAGTCAGTATGCTTGCCTGGCTGAGCCCTGCACCTGATCACTGCAGTCTGTCCTGTCATCTGCATTTTATTAAATCTGTTCTTAACTCTCTCATTGTGTAATGTCACTCTCTATCCCCCTGTGTGTAGCAAGGTTTAGGTGCTAGCTACTGGTGAGAACTACTGTACGTGTGTGCGTAAAAAAAAAAAGGTGCCAGTTAAGTAAGTGGGGTTCCAGTGCAGCTACTGGAGCCTGTGAGGGTCTTTACCTTCCAGCCACTGGAGTGGGAACAGTATGTCCCAAAAAACAGCTACTGGGTGGACACCGGTGTGAGTGAGGCAAGCAAAGGCCTTGAGGGCTCCATGAATGCATGTGCTTGTGAACCTAGAAAGTGCTGTGTGTGCACCTGGACTAGTGAAACTCTATCTTTACCAGCTGAAGAGAAGGAAGGGGACATAGCTGTCTATATTTATGTTTTATCTGAGTGCTGTATGCACGTGTTGTTGAGCGCAAGCCTTGCCTGTGGCAATTCATGTGGCTGTGTCAGTGTCCTGTGTCTGTGAGTCTTGGATATGTGCTCAGCTTTGGTACTGGTTGAACCCACAAAGGGGAAAACGGCAGCTGCATCCCTTGGCCTTAGCAGAGGTCCCAGATCCCTGTGGCACTGGGCTGGATTCCAGCAGCCAGGCAGGAGCGATTCTGGGCCAGAGCAGGTAGAGGAGGCAGCCATGCTCTTATCATCACTTAGCACTGATTAGAATAAAACCAAATGAAAGAATAAAGCTTCACAAAGTTCATACAGTTACACTGGTCAGCAAGCAGAAATATATTTACCAAGACACCTGGGTGCTGGTTTCCATTCACCATTTATTTCACAACTTGTAGTACCAGTTGCCATATTATCTGCAGTCTGAAATCCCTCTGGACATGAATATGCAATTGTATCTCCAGAAAGGAACACGCTTTTATCTACATGGTCATCCAAAATGTGAACATTAGGTTTTTCACATGATCCTGTAGAATAAAATAATGTTAGAACATTTTGCAATCCAGAAACATTGCCTGTTGGAAATATCAATGCTGTAGGTACTTTAGTGTGTGCTAGGTTAGTGGACAATTCAGGACATTTAAAACATTAAAAATTCTGCATTGCCAGCATATGAATTTAGAATATGGATTTAGAATAGGGATATGGTTTAGTGGGGACTGTTCGTGTTAGGTTAGAGGTTGGACTCCATGATCTTGAGGTCTCTTCCAACCTAGAAATGCTGTGATTCTGTGATATTATACGTAATACATTCACATAGTATCTATTGCATTCTGCATTCTAGAAAGGAGGAGGAGTAGAATCTGGCACAAATTCCTTGGATTCAATTCCTTTCCTTCCACTATTTATTTTTAATATAAGTGTCATATCACACCGTTTGTACTCCTGTTCCCTGTGGCCTTTTGTGAGCTGATCAGAAAAAAACAACTGTGTAAATTCAGTCTGAACCAAAAGGACAGGAGAAAGTGCTAGTTAATATTGGTCAGTATTACAGACCTTGGCCTTATAACACTGGAAGATCCAAGTTCCTCTTTTAGTGTCCTATACCCCTGTACAGGAGAGGAAAGGACTTCTAAGAGGAGAAAGGCAACAACAGTATGGAAGTATTTCTCAGAAAAGAACACTCTGGTCTTTTTCAAAAATGTGCTTTCTAGCCCCAGGGCAGAAAGAACAGCCTAATCTTTTATGCACAGTCATAACATCTTTCCAAATAATGAATCACGTTTCTTATTTGGTCACTTTTAAAGAAAGTTATTGACATAATCCTTTGGCTCACAGGCATTTCTTCATAAATTGTCCTTCACAAGTGTGAAAGGTTCTCCTGCTCTTATCAAAAATATTGGAGAAACTGGGAGTAAGATTGGGTATATGCACATTGTATCAGCTAAAATCACTGGAGAGGGCAGTGATCATCTACTTCATAACACTGAGGTTCGAAAAAAAATAGCTCACCTAGAAGACAGAAGATATTTTCCCTGCGTACTCACTTCAATTTTGCTTTCTGTCTTTAATTCTTGGAGCCCCAGAAAAGTTCATCTCTGGAGGCTCAGTCCTCTGTTTGACTCTCCCTCTGCTCTGTAAGAAACCTCTACCAATACAGATGAAGAAAATCAGAGTACATAGGGCATCTTGTTTGTACTAGTGGTTGCAATAGGGAGCTCTGAAGTTGTTCTACTCACTGATGCACTTTGGAGTTGGAGTCCAGCCATTCTCTTGACACCGTGTCTCTCCTCTGTCTTTTCCTTCTGGAGTTACAAAGCCATCATGACACGTATAGGTGACTTTCGCCTGTAAGGCAAACGTACCCCTTGCCAAGGGGAAAGAAGCATTGTCCAGCACGATATTCTGACATGTTTCTGAAAGACAAAATTCCTTTCCAGTAAAATGCTGCTAAACTACATACTTATGATACCCAGATGATGGAGGACAAATGAAAACAGCAATAGGATTGAGAACAATTTTAAGAGCACATTATTTTCTGCTTCCGTGTTAAGCTCCCTTCCTCAGGAACAACCAGAATGTGAAAAGTCAAAACTCAGTGTTACTAACTGGTATTTATATATTTATTTTTGGTATTTACAGTCATGATGCTCACTATTGGCTAACACTAAGAATTATCAAATTTTGTTTTGCTTGCTCATTGCTATGTGAAAATATCAGCAAGTGGCTGTCCAAAACATTCTATGGTAGGTGTCTCTTTCATGCTGGAATTGCTTCATTAGAAAATGTTTTGACAGTCTAAAATAAGGAGGTTAGGTTGAATTACTTCTTTTTTCCGTATAAAATAATTACATAAAGTATCTAGTCATGATATAAAGTTATCTAAAGTTTAGGTGACATCATAGCAATTTTAGGCTTGCTGGAAGTCAGGTTCAAAAGCTGAAAGGGTATTAGGAGAGAGAAGCTTCCTGTTCTTCCCTCCTTCTAGTATGATGCCAGCTGGAAGGCAAGCAAAAGGGGATGAAGTGGCATAGATGGAGGCTCTAAGGAGAGAAGAAATTACAGGCTGTTCAAAGGGAGTGATTAGTATTTATTACATTACTTCACTGCTGGGTTATAGAAAATTTCACTATCAAAGACCAAGAGGGTCTGACTCCCACCCCAGAGCTTACAGTCCAGGAGAACTGAATGAGCCTGCTGTGGCCATTTTACAGGGCATCATTCTGCATGTTTGTATAGCTATTGACCTCAGTGGCACGCAGGGACTCAAGAGCTGCATGAGACAGCTGAGGGAATCACGGCACTGTGTTTCACTTGTAAAGCACCTAGACTTAGAGTTACCCCAAGCAGCAGTGATGGATTAACATGGGTGAAGTGACAATGGATTTATTGTTTTTTAGCTAGAAATTGTGACAAAATGTAAGCACACTCACTCTTACGGATACATCTTGGGAAAGGTGACCAGCCATTCTTTGTGCATGTAACTTCACCACCTGCACTTTCAGTACGATAGTCTTGGTTGCAGACATATTGAATTCTTTCACCTTCCGTGTAAGTATAACGATTATATCTGAAATAACCGTTTTCCAGGTGTGTTACAAAGCATGTTTCTAAAGAAGAAAGGTAAGTACATTTAACCACAGTAATCTGAACAGCTAATACTCAGGTACCAAAATTTAACCAGCTGTAGAGATTTTACCAACTGCTAAGCATGCTGGCCCTACGGATGGATGAAGGAATGCTCTGGCTCCGTTATTGGAGTAACTGCTCCTTTCCTCTGGGTGGGACACCCCTTGTCCCCTGAAATGACGTCCACTCCGCTCAGGGCAACTGGAGAAAGACCAACTTTTTGTTGATCTTTCAGGTCCTATCGATAGGTAGGAACTGTAATCTGACTGAAGATGGGGATTATGAGAGAAGGCATCGGCTCGCTGGTTTAAATATATTCCATCGCTGAAAGATTAAGCCAGTGTATCTGGATCTCTTGCTGCAGCAATACTCACTCTCAGCTTATTGTGAGAGTGTGCCACCTGGCCAGTCCCAAACGTTATCCAAAAAGACTGGGCAGTGAATCCTAGACATTATCCTCTAGACAAAGTGCCCAAGGAACTGAAGGAATAATACATTTACACAGAGAAGATGTTCTTGGAATGTCTTGCTGCATGTGCAGGTGAAAGCAGATACATGCATGGGACACAGAAGCCAGAGATGAAAAACATTTCCTAAATCTTATTTCTCTAATTTTTTTATTTTTTTTTAATCTCAGGGATAGGTGCAGGAGTAATGAACGTCCAAAATCCAGATTTATCATTTCAGCCTTGCTCATTTCAGAGTGTCACTTACCAAGTGGCTGAGCTCTGCAGACAGGATAACAGTCTGGGGGAAGTTCCAGGGTTCAACTCAACCAGTTATACTTTAACGGTACGTTGCTGCTACTTGCATTCCACCAGCACCATTTCTGCTGCACAGATCATCAATAATCATAACAAAATTGAGCATATAGTAGAAGTGCACTTACTGAGGCATTTTGGCTCTGGATTCCAGCCCCCTTTTGAACAGTAAATTCGAACGACTCTTCCTCCATTTGGGGCTAAGTAGCCATTACGACAGTGGTAATCAACATACTGTCCAATCCTCATTGGAAAGTAAGAGTGTGCCATTCTTTCACTTATCTTGCCATTTTCTATCACTGGGTAGTCACAGGGTTTCTCTTGAAATAGAATTTAACAGCAACAGTATCAACACACGCATGGCAAAAAGCTCAGCACACAAAGTCCTAAATACTAATTCAGATACCACTTCATTATTTGAGTGTTTCCTGGAACTGACAGAATCAGAACTGCACACCTTGGCAGATCTCAAGGAGTGCAGGATCAACGTTGCTGTGTTCGATCGATGTCTACAGCTATGCTTTTTGCCTGTTTTCATTGCAATCAACAGAAATCCAGTCCATCTTCTTAGTGGACACTAGAGGCTGATTCATGCAACCAAATGTAAGTATTAATTATATGGTGAGATAACACAGTTTCTTTACAGGGACTCAGCTAAGTGTACTATACTGACACTGATGGGAACCCATGCAGTTAGCTCAGATCTAGACACTAAAGTGCAGAGTCTAGCAATTGTTGTAACAGCTGTCACCATTTTTATTTGTCACTTCTGAGATCTTACACCAAAAGCTCTTTCTAGCTTTACTCTTTTTCATTTTAAAACGTAAGTGATATTTCTTTTGTTTTCTCAGTTCCTCAAAAGAGCTTTTCAGGAACAAGTCAGGCTTAGCAGCAGCTGTCATTCAAAGATTACCCAGGGTGTCCTGCTTGGCCAAGGCAGCTAGGTTCCTCCTGACGTGCCCTGAACCAAAGCCCACATGCTGGGGGTGAGGAGGATGGGAAGGAGGGATCAGTCACTGAACGGACCATTTAATAATGAGAGAGGTGGTCTCCAAAAGATTCCTCAATTTCAGAATCTACAAATAGATAAATGCTTAATCCACTTGTTAACAATGTACTTTTCTTGGATAGATCAAATAATTTTACCCAAAGGTTCATTCACAAGACTGATTTTGTCAGGGTTTCTTTCACCTGCTTCTGTTTTGTATGTTTTTCTTTCATTTTCAGTAATCAAAGATCAAAGACCAATAAATAATGAAATCGCTGACTTTTGTTTTTCTACTGCATATAATGGGAAAAACTATAATTGTAATTAATGGAAGTTTAAGCCAAAAAAGAACTCATTACCAATCAATCAAGAGTATTTTGTTTTGCCATTTGACAGAGTATAATAAAGCTGCAATTGTTCATAACATATCAACACAAAACTGCAAGCAAAAATCTAAGGTTCTGGTTAACATGATGAAAAATACCTTCCAACCATCACCTACGCATTGGTTTGGATATTTCAACACTCACTGTGTCCTCTTATCTTGACTGGCATGCTACTCCTCAGTTGGACCACAAACCTTCCTGTCAGGGAGCTGACTATTGCAGACTTTAATATATAATTTCACAAATATAGTAACAGATAATGCCCGTGTTTATAAACATAATGTACATTTACATTACACCCTTGCTTCTTAGCTGTTTGATGTTTTTTTCCAAGCCATTCACATTAAGTTTTATAACACCAGGAAATACAACGAATAAGCATTTTTTATTTCCTATGGTGCTGAGGTTTTTCTCTTGAGATATTTCCAAAATAACAATTGTGTATATTGTGCCTTCACTCACAAGAGCTACTTACCAACACAATCTGGAGCAGGCACCCAGCCTCTGCTGGTGCATTGAGCTGTATTTTTGCCAGGCAGTGTTCTCAAATGATATCCAGGATTACAGTCTATTGTGATCGTAGCCCCTTCTCTGTAGCTGTCTTCTTGAGGTCTAAAGTTCCCATTGGGAACTCTTGGAGGAGAGCATAGAATTTCTAAATGGAAAGAGAAAAATGCGGTGCTAATTTGAAGAATGCCTTTATATTAATTGCAGAAGTTTTTATCTTCACAGTCTATTGACCAAAATTATTGCATAAAATAACTTTCAAATAGAGATTTCTTAGGGAGTGAGGCAAACACATTCTTTATAAACTGGAGCCATTGTTTTTAATTTTTTTTTTTTACTTGCAATTCAGAAAATCACACCAGCACACTCAGGGCTGGGAGGGGATGATTATACAGTCACCACAAGTTGGTCCTCCTGTGGAGTGAAGGTGGATGAATCAGCTGCATACGTGTGCTGCTTAGTCATCTAGGCTCCTGGTAAGTCAAATAAGATCTAGAACAACTTCAAGGTAGCAAAAAGCTACAGGAATAAAGCAGGACAGAAATTATTTTATATTTTCCTACTATAGAATGACCTTGGAGAGGATTTATAATTGCATACAGCCCAAGTATCAGAGCCCAGTATATCCATGTCTGGAAGAAGGCTTTGTTTGTCACTTCTCAAAAGCAGTATGCTGCTAAACCATAGGCAATGCATATTGATTAGTATCATTACTATCTTGAAGCAGAAAGTTCAAGGACTGAGTGGGCACTAGGACTGACTACTCTTTATTTCTAAAGGAGTCTTTCTGGAAGAGGTCCCAGGAAGGTTGGTGGCACATAACATCCTGTAACAATGCCCTTTTGCAAACATTTTTTTTCCAGTTTCAAGCGTTCTTTGGCAATTTCTTGAACATGATTTGATACAGTATAAAGATTTCTCCAAAATGTATATCAAATTATTCCAGCTAGGACATCATGCGCATGTCTGTTTGTGGGATTTGGAGTTCTAACGGAAGACTTTATGTACTGTAGCTGAGTGAAACTAAATCAAAATCAGTGACCCAGAGTGCAGATGTCCAACAGGACTGACGTCAGAAATCATGGATTTGTCATCTGAACTGCACAGAAGGTGTTTGGGAGTTAGAAAGCATAAGGGAGTTTCATCACTGTAAATATACGAATTTGTAGAGATCCTTGGACAATTTCTGATGGGAAGTCTGAACATCATGAATAATGTGGTGGCACAGTTACAGTTCTGGTAATATTAAACAAACTGCTGTCTTCATCGTAGGCTAAGAGTCATGGACAGCGGCAGAATTCACGCAGACCATGCTACTTTAGTCTCTGCTTATACATCACTTCAGGGCCAGATTGGTTCTTTAGGTTAGCGAATTTCAGACATACTGTACCTAATTCTTGACATAATGTCTGTGTAGAGAGCACATTTCAGCTAGCTTTGTGTATATTGCAACACTACAATTCCACTGTATTTTTCAGCCTAGACACTCGTGGCCATCAATGGACAACTTACCCTTCTGAGACTGGACTACCTCAAATTTGCTCTTATTCCTATGGAAATGGCCATAACCACATCAGACTGTTCTTCCTACAACCCTGTCTTACTATTTATTGACCTTAAGTGAGGATTTAAATTTGAAAGGTATTTTGAAAGGTACTTTTTGTAATTTCCACTCATTTTTTTTAAAAAGGTGCACAATTTCTTAGTGAAGGTCTATCAGTGAAACAGAGATCATTTTTGAATTGTTCCTCTTTCATTGGAACTAGTTTCTCAGAACTAATAGCTCAGAAATTTCAAAAGCTAATGTAACGATGAGCAAACAGGTGCTCGGTCTACTCAAACTATGGTGAGACTCAGGAACACTCAAGAAAAATGCAGAAATCAGTTCAGTAGGTCAGGAAAACCTACTATTCTATTGTCTTCAAGCCTTCTGTTGTTTCACAGGTTCATACAGGGTGAGATGCTGAGTGGCATTTTACTCTTATTACAAATTACAAGTAGCAGAGTGGTGGCTACGGTGCCACAGCATCTCAGCTACTGAACGTGGAAGACTTGAAGATGCATAAATTTGTAGCTCCACCTCAAAGAACTGCTTGTGATTCATAAGCAAGTAGGTCATCAAGCTGAGAGCCAGTTTTATCCATACTGCTGCAATTCATATGGTATCCAGCATTTAACCCCCTCTTTTTATTTTCAGAACAGCCACTGACTTTCACCACTTATATTCAAGTTAAAAGCAGTATACTTGAATTTCACTTTAAAAAGTATCACGTCTTGATTTGAAGACAATAGGACTTCAGAAATCATATCACTTCTCTAAGTTGGTTTCAAACGTTAATTTTTCTGTGCCATTAAAAATTTCAGATTCGTTCCATAGTTTTAATTTCTACAGTATTAGTGGTTTTTCTGCTTGCTTCAATAATCTTTTTAATGTCTGATTTTTTTTTCCATCCCTTCACTAAAGCATTTTCACTGTATTTTGTAGAAGGTAAAGAGATTCAACTTTATCCTTCCTATGCAAATTAAGAATTATTTATAAACCAAGAGTATTTTTGCTATGTTATCCCCACTAATTCAGAGTCACAGAATAAAAAAGGAACAGGACAAAATTAAGCAGTTTCTAATGCTAAAGTATTTCATCATCCATCTCATTTATGCAGTACATGTGAGCAATTCTATCTTCATATACTCAAGAAAGGCTGAATTAACCATTTTTTGCTATGGCCTCTCATGGAAAACTCATATTCAGTTGTTTTGTCATGATTTTCATGGTGTATTGGCAAGATGTGGATGATTATTATTTTTTTTTTAAATCAATAATCTAATGATAATGATTACGATAATACTGAAATTACTTCCAAATACAACATACAGTGTCCAAAATAACTTTAGGAAAAGGCAGCCCAGTGCAGTAGGGGGTTGGATGCCATCCAGATTCAGTACATAATGCATCTGCTCTTTCACCAAATGTGTACCCTTTTTCACAACCAAACTGTAGTTGTTCAGACTGCTTGTAAGATGACTTTGAGTTACGCACAAATCCAAGTTTTAGTTCAGATACTACTTCATCATTTGAGTGTTTCCTAGAACTGACAGAATCACAACTGCACACCTGGGCAGATCTCAAGATTAGAGATCTCTTGTGCTGGCCACGCAGTACATGCTTCCAACTACACAAGCAAACTGGGGGATTTGTACACTGCCCATCAGTACAAGTGCTTTGCTCAGATCCTTGAGAATGTAGGAACTTGGGCATTTCATTTTCACAGTTGCACCTTGGGGGTATTGTTTCAACTGGAAAGAAAGGATGTCTCCATTTTCAGTATCTCAAGGTGGGTCACATTTTCCACCTTCCCCTGGAAGACCAATAACCATTACAAAGAAGGCCATCAGAGTTTAGCTGCAACAGAGCCCTAGCCACAAATTCTTCAGAAGACCATGTAGGCAGCACTTCGAGAGACTTGGAGGAAAGCAGAGAGAAAACTGTCACCTTGACATCAAATACCTAGCAAAGGAAAAAGAGCACATTTCTCATTCCTCTGCTGTCAGGACTCACAAGTACCTCTGTGAGAGCATATTTAAGGCAAAAAAAAAAAAAAAAAAAAAAATTCCTCACAGTCCCGAGACTGAAATTTGGAGACAAAAATGCCACTAAGCTAGCTTGAGGGCAGTCTTTACTGACAGTGTACTGCATGGAGAGAGAGAGAACTCAACAGCAATTTCTGGAGGAGGTTCACACGTCACATCTGAAAAGAGACATTTCTCCACTCAGTTTGTAGGCACTCACGTGTTCCCCTACACAAACTACAGTTAAGGGAATCATCTTGTAACTCCACAGATGATGTTCTTAAGCGCAAGAGGCTATACTGCCTTACCAAGATGACTTGATGTCTTTCCCCCTCTTTTTTCCTTGACCATGAGTGTTTCTAAACACTGTGAACACCAGGAATGTCACTTAATGGCAGCAGAACACCTTCCAGATTCTCAGGAGATGACAGGGACAGTGAGAGCTTCTAGAAAAAGCCAGCATTTCTGTAGCTACACCACATGCCACAAAAAGCCTCCTTGCAAGGCCATGGTCCTCTGCTGAGAACCCCAGCACTTCTCAGAATCACAGATGTAGCAGCCAAGTTGGCTCTCTGCTGAACTGTAGACCTCTGGAAGAAGTTATCAGCCTGCACTGCTGGGTTCTTATCCACAGTTCTACAGAGCAATGTATCTTCCACACACAGCACTTACTTTCACATCGGGGGTAGTTTATCACTCCATCCTGACACTGGGCATTAAAATCCTCTGGGTTCGAAACTTCATGTTAGGAATCCTTGCATGTAAACAAAATATACTCCTCAGAACGATACGTGTAAGATCTTCTCCTTGGCTGTCTTAGTTTAATATTGTTGCTCTCCATAGCTGTCTCAAGCACTGTACAGTCCTCTGGGGAAGATAAAAAATTAAAAAAAAAAAAAAAATTAAAAGTAAAATATTGCATCCAGTTCAGGTCCCCAGTTGATAGAAGGACAGGGAACTGCTTGACTGCTTGAGACCAGCGCAGAGCCACGACAATGATTAAGGGAGTGGAGCTTCTTCCTTACAAGGACAGGCTGAGGGAGTTGGGTCTCTTTACCTTGAGGAAGAGGAGACTGAGTGTGACCTTATTAATTTCTATAAATATATAAAGGGCAAGCGTGAGGAGGACGGAGCGAGACTCTTCTCAGTGACACCCAACGACAGATAAAGAGTAAAAGGGTGCAAGCCGCAACATTCAAGATTCCGCTTGAATGTGAGAAAAAACTCTTTTTTACAGTGAGGATGACAGAATAATGCAACAGGCTGCCCAGGGGAGGTGTGGAGTCTACATCTGTGGAGACATTCAAAACCCACCTGGACGCATTCCTGTGTGACCTGATTTATGTGCTCCTGCTCAGGAAGGGGATTGGGCTAGATGATTCTTCAAGATCCCTTTCCTGATGTTGGGACAAAATCCCTGATGTTGGGACAAAGCCCTGCCTACACAGGCAGGCTTGGGAGAGCCTGCAAGGAAATGGTCTCCCTCTCTTCAGTCAGGGAAATGGCACCTTCTGATTTCAGAGAAGCCACTTGCAGGGAACTTACCAGCCCTTCCGTCCTGCCTGGAACCAGCCGGGCAGGCCCAGCACCAGTAACCCTGATGAACCCCAGCGAGCCCGTTCCCCAGGAGCCTTTCAAAATCAGGTTCGCCAGTTGGCAGATTCTTGGGGGAACCTCGCCTCATGGCCTGCAGCTTTGCAGGGTGCTCTCCCACCTTGGAGCCCCATTATTTCTTCCCCAGGCACATTTGCTAGGGGCTTTCCTCTCAGCTTCTGCACTAAAAATGCACCAAGGCAGCGGCCAAGCAGTGACAGAGTGGAGGTGACTTACTTCCTGGCTTGCACCGTGGGTATTCTAATGTCCCATCCATGCACTGCACTCTGAAGGGGGAAGATGCTGGGTCCTGCACGTATCCTATTTTACAATCAAATTCAACAAAATCGCCTGATTTTAAATACGTCTTTCTTTCTCCACTCCATTTCAGCTCAATGTTGTTTCTGTCCATATCTTCTTCAGATGTCGTACAAGCGGCTTCGAAAAGGCAAGAGAAGAACATCATTAGTTTATGCAGACACATCATATGTCCAACAAAAAAAAAGGGAAAAACAATGATGGCTGAGTCGCCACACACCGCTGTGGAGAGGCCTTTGCCCTCTGACAGTCTCACTGGGCAAGGGGGAAGCACAGCCTGGGGCAGGGGCACCAAGAAGGCAGCAATGAACTTCCCTGTGTCTTTTTTGGGATCTCTCCTTGCCCTCGTCCCAGCACTTCTCAAATTAAATTCCCCCATGGCCCTGGATTTCCTTGCTCTCAGACCAAACCACCCTCCTGGATCTGCAGGTGACTGGGGGCAGGGAGGGACAGCAGGCAGCAGAGGCAGCTACACGAGCTGACCTCCAGAGGAAATTCCTTCTGCACAGGAGAAGCACCAGCTGCTCTTCTGCCCTGTCAGCATCGCAGCCCCAACACAAGCGCTGCTTCACAAGTGCAGGGCCTGCAGGGCCTGAGAGAAAGACAACGAGCAGCTCACACAGCTCTGGGCCACTCAGCACCAGCTTCCACCTACCCAAGCAAACTGGGGGATTTGTCCACTGCCCATCAATGCAGGTGATTTGCTCAGGTCCTTTCAGGATGTAGAAACTTGCACATTTGTATTTCAGCGTTGCACCTTCAGGGTATTGTTTCAACTGGAAGGAAAGGATGTCTCCGTTTTCAATATCTGGAGGTGGGCCGCATTTTCCACCTTCCCCTGGAAGACCAATAACCATTACAAAGAAAGCCATCAGAGTTTAAATGCAACAGAAGCCTAGTCACAAATTCTTCAGAAGACCAGCTAGGCAGTACTTCGAGAGACTTGGAGGAAAGCAGAGAGAAATCTGTCACCTTGACACCAAATGCCTGGTAAATGGAAAAGGTTCTCATTCATCTCCTGCCAGGACTCACAACTACCACTTCATCCATTTTTCCTTGCTGGAGTGTTTGCATCTTTCTGCAGGACTTGCACTGGTCCTACGTAATGGGGTAGTGTTTTTGGCACAGCTCTTGCTGCAGAAGAGCCTGACTCTCCCCCGCTCCCTGTGCTGCCTGAACAGGGTGGATCCACAAGAGTGGATCAGTTTGCAAACCAGAACAAATGTCACTGGGCTGTACCATTTTGGTTCCTAATGAGATAGCTTTTTGCTTCTGTGGAGCACTTACAGCCACTGAGGAGACTGCACAAGCCAGCATGAATGCATCATGCCTGATTTCTTACTCACTTTTAAAAGTCGGGCCCTGCGGCTTCTTGGATTTTTATACCTGTTGAAGCACCACCCTGTTCTGAAGCCTGGCATTCTAACGGGTGTTGCTTTGAGAAGATCCTGCACTGGGTCACTGGCACCAGTAATGCTGCTCTTTGCACTTGGCACTGTGCTCAGCAACCACAATAGGGAGCCCGGTCTTAATTCATCTGGTATGTCTGCACCCCATTCACCTGCCAGCTGGGCAGTGTCCGAGTCAAATGACACTGCATTTGTTCATGTGCTGAAACCTAGCACACGCCTCATGAAGTCAAATGAGATTATTCAATGTGCGCGTGAAATCCTAGGCACCAACGTGGTACCAGCTGTTAGCTCACCCATCAGCTACGGCCCACAGGTAATTTACGACATTCACAAACGCAATGCTCCACTTGCATTTCCTGGATGTCAGTGAGCAGGAGAGCTGTGAGCATTGTTCTCCAGCACAGACAGCACAATTTCTCACTCTCCTCACATGAGGCATTCTCAGAAAGTAGATTTGCAGAACTGAAAGGTTGCAGTCTCAAAATCAGAGCTGGCCAGCAGTTGCTCTCAGCCTCAGGGTGCTTTTCCAGATGTGGCAACCCTTGAGTGAAGCCATCTGGTAGACTTCCATTAAACACATCCTGCCCACACAAATGGAGGGATACCACGGAAAATCTCTTTTTCCTGAGTCTGACAGATATTGTTGCACTTGCTCACAGTCCTGAGACTGAAATTTGGAGACCTAAATGTCACACAATTTGTACACCCTCATGTATTTCCCTTTACAAAGTACAGTTAAGAGAATCATTGTTATTCCCCAGATGATGTTCTTAAGTGCAAGAGACAATATTGCCTTACCAACGTGACTTGATTTTTTCCCCCCTTTTTTCCTTGGATTTCAGGGGCACTGTGAGCCCCAGGAATGTAAATTAATATCACAATGGCAGCAGAACACCTTCCAGATTCTCAGGAGATGACAGCGACAGTGAGAGCTTCTAGAAAAAGCCAACATTGCTGTAGCTACACCACATGCCACAAAAAGCCTCCTTGCAAGGCCATGGTCCTCTGCTGAGAACACGAGCGCTTCTCAGAATCACAGATGTAGCAGCCAAGCTGGCTCTCTGCTGAACTGCAGAGCTCTGGAAGACATTATCAGCCTGTACTACTCATGGGACAGGTAAGTAAAGTTGACTCCATGGGGGTGTATGACTGCCACGTTGCACTTGTTCAGCCCCCAGCCACAGATTAGGGCAGGGACTAGGAGGATGGCACAGCTCCTCTTCAGAGGAACCTTCTTGCCATTGCAGAACCCAGCCGATCTGCATGTTTTAGTTCCTGAGGCTCTGCTGGGATCTCTGTCATAGTGGAGCCTCAGAGAAGAGCTCCTGTTTCTCTCCTCTAGTGCTTCTGCCATTCCGATACTCTCTGACAGCACTGAACACAACAGAGGAGCCCTTACACATCTTTCTAGTGAAGGTCAGTAAAATGGTGTAGTCTGGAAATTACTTGTATCTCAGAGAAGAATAGCAAGTCAGCACACTCTAGGCCTTTTTTCTTCAAGATATTTTTGCTCTTGATGAATATACCCATAGTGTTTCTAGAAGTATTAAGCTAAATTAATCACAGAATCACAGAATTTCTAGGTTGGAAGAGACCTCAAGATCATCGAGTCCAACCTCTGACCTAACACTAACAGTCCCCACTAAACCATATCCCTAAGCTCTACATCTAAACATCTTTTAAAGACCTCCAGGGATGGTGACTCCACCACTTCCCTGGGCAGCCTGTTCCAATGTCTAAAAACCCTTTCGGTAAAGAAGTCCTTCCTAACATCTAACCTAAAACTCCCCTGGTGCAACTTTAGCCCATTCCCCCTCATCCTGTCACCAGGCACGTGGGAGAACAGACCAACCCCCGCCTCGCTACAGCCTCCTTTAATGTACTTATACAGAGCAATAAGGTCGCCCCTGAGCCTCCTCTTCTCCAGGCTGAACAAGCCCAGCTCCTTCAGCCGCTCCTTGTAGGACTTGTTCTCCAGACCCGTCACCAGCTTCGTCGCCCTTCTCTGGACCCGCTCAAGCACCTCGATGTCCTTCTTGTAGTGAGGGGCCCAAAACTGAACACAGTACTCGAGGTGCGGCCTCACCAGAGCCGAGTACAGGGGGACGATCACCTCCCTAGCCCTGCTGGCCACACTGTTTCTGATACAAGCCAGGATACCGTTGGCCTTCTTGGCCACCTGAGCACACTGCTGCCTCATATTCAGCCGACTGTCCACCAATACTTCCAGGTTCTTCTCCACCAGGCAGCTCTCCAACCATTCCTCTCCCAGCCTGTAGCTCTGCTTGGGGTTATTGCACCCCAGGTGGAGGACCCGGCACTTGGCCTTGTTGAACTTCATGCAGTTGACCTCAGCCCTTTGGTGCAGCCTATCCAGATCCTCCTGCAGAGCCTTCCTACCATCGAGCAGATCGACACACACACCTAGCTTGGTGTCATCTGCAAACTTACTGAGGCTGCACTCAAAGCCCTCGTCCAGATCATCGATGAAGATATTAAAGAGGACCCGCCCCAGCACCGAGCCCTGGGGGACACCACTAGTGACTGGCCTCCAACTGGACTTGGCTCCATTTACCAAGACTCTTTGGGCCCGGCTATCCAGACTGTTTCTAACCCAACGAAGCGTGCGCCAGTCCAAGCCAAGAGCAGCCAGTTTCTTGAGGAGAATGCTGTGAGAGACGGTGTCAAATGCCTTGCTGAAGTCAAGGTAGACCACATCCACAGCCTTTCCCTCATCCACCCAACACGTCACTTTGTCACAGAAGGAGATCAGGTTCGTCAAGCAGGACCTGCCTTCCATAAACCTATGCTGACTAGGCATGATTGCCTGCTTGCCCTTCAAGTGCCGCATGATGACTCCCAAGAGGATCTGCTCCATGAGCTTCCCTGGCACTGAGGTCAAACTGACCGGCCTGTAGTTTCCTGGGTCAGTCCTCTGGCCCTTCTTGTAGATGGGCGTCACGTTTACTAGCCGCCAGTCAACTGGGACCTCCCCCGATAGCCAGGACTGTTGATAAATGATGATAAGCGGCTTGGCCAGCTCCTCTGCCAGTTCTCTCAGTACCCTTGGGTGGATCCCATCCGGCCCCATCGACTTGTGCACATCCAAGTGCCGTACCAGGTCACCAACCAGTTCTTCGTGGATGGTGAGGGCCACATCCTGCTCCCCATCCCCTTCCACCAGCTCAGGGTACTGGGTATCCAGAGAACAACCGGTATTGCCGCTAAAGACTGAGGCGAAGAAGGCATTGAGCACCTCTGCCTTTTCCTCATCTCTTGTAAGTAAGTTTCCCCCCGCATCCAGTAAAGGATGGAGATTCTCCTTAGTCCTCCTTTTTGTGTTGATATATTTATAAAAACGTTTTTTGTTATCTTTAACGGCAGTAGCCAGATTGAGCTCCAGATGAGCTTTGGCCTTTCTAATTTTGTCCCTGGACAGCCTCGCAACATCCTTATAGTCCTCCCTAGTGGCCTGCCCACTTTTCCAAAGATTATAAACCCTCTTTTTCCTCCTAAGCTCAAGCCACAATTTTCTGTTCAGCCAGGCTGGTCTTCTTCCCCACCAGCTCGTCTTTGGGCACGTGGGGACAGACCGTTCCTGCGCCATCAAGATTTCCCTCTTGAAGAGCGCCCAGAATTCCTGGATTCCTCTGCCCTTCAGAACCGCCTCCCAAGGGACTGCACCAACCAGTGTCCTCAGCAGCACAAAGTCAGCCCTCCAGAAGTCCAATACAGCGGTTTTACTGGTCCCAAAGTTCTGTGCAAGAAAGTAGTAGGTACAAAGCTGCATTACCCAAAGAAAACAAACTAATAAAGGTAATGTCTTTCTAGTATTAAGGTAATCCAAACAGTCCCCATGAAGCGAACAGCCATAATGAAGGCACAAATTCCTACCTCTGCAGCTTGGCTCTTTTGTCCAGTGTCCATCTGAACAAATGACATAATTTACACCCATAATTTGTGAATTACTTTCACATTCATAATGCACTTTGGCACCAGGCAGATACCTCTGCTGTTGAGTGCTGATAATACGAGCATTGGGAATTTCAGGTGGGGGTCCACAGCGAACATCTGAAAAGAGGGGTGCATTTAAGAATCGTAGGACAGGAATATGGCTATCACAGAATAGCGCATTCAGAAGCACCATTATTCCTGATGAGGACAGATGGTTTGCATATGGTAAATTATTTTCTACAAGTAGGAAAGGAAGATACTATGGGTTTCATTCTGCAATGCTTCACAAGGCAGTTATTAGTTATTTTGTTTTTGCTTGAAGTGACTTAAAAAGAGGAAAGGAGCTGCAGAGACCAGCTGAATGTGCAGGCTGATGCCATTCAGCATTGTGTGCCAAAGCACTGGAGAGCAAAATGGTTTATTTACTATTCGAAGGTAACTTTCAGAGAGTGAAATTTAAAATATGTAAGGC